ATTTTCTTTGGCTTTTAGGAAAAACAGCCTATCTCACTTCCAGGTGTATGTCTTGGCCCGTAAGTTCTGGATCTCACGACTTAGCAGCCCATGGTTACTGCACTCACCCTCTTCAGACTCCGTGAGGAATGGACTAATCTGCAGTAGAGAACGTTCATTACTCACAGATCTCTGGGTAGTAAACAGCCAGCAGCTAAGCCTGCGCTGCTTGAAGATCACGCTAATCCCCAAAATAAAGAGGAGATGGGCTCTTCTCCCTGCTGTTTCCTGCCTCTGTGTCAGAGGCCGGAAGGACAGATTCCCATCTCTGGTTTCCACACCTGACTGTCAGAACCAGAACCCTGGAGTCCAGCAAGAATAGCTGGAAGATAAAATGAGCAGCTTTATCACCACAGAAGGAAGCGTGAAAGATGATTATGTCTAAAGCCAATCACGAAGTGTAAAACACGTTGGAGATTTGTTCCATCTATCGAAGATTAAAAAGAAAGAACTTTTGGGGGGTTATATAGGGAGCTCGCGTATTTGGACCAAGACTCTCACCTCCCACTGAAAACTTTCTTGAGATCATGAAAGAGCTACTAAGATCATAAGGAAGGAAGTATAAGGTCAGAATCCAGTGAAGGCAGGAACCCTGGAGGAGGAGCAGAACCCTGAAGCCGCCTTTGCCCCCAGGCATTTGCAAGCCCTTGAAGTTGTGCTTTGGACCACTGATCTGGTAAAGTCTGAGGACAGAGGTCAAAGCCACGAGCCTGCGAGGTGGCAGTCAAACAGGATGCCCTCTCTGTGACAAGGGTACAGTGGCAAATGGGTCCTCTCGCATTGAGAGCCAATGAGAAGTAAACCCCCTCTTGCCACCTCGTGGGGAATCTGAGGGAAGCTGCCTTAGTGGGGCTGAGGAAGGCTGAGCTGTCACCACAAGCTGGGAAGTTTACAGCAGCTGCTGCTTAAAAGTCCTCAATCTCGAATTTAGATGAAAGCGGTTCCAAATTGAAAGTATTTTTCCTGGAAGCACATGCCAATGCTCTCTGGCCAAGGGCCTTCCCAGCCTCTGAGAAGCCTCCAAACTATTTGCCAAAGCAATAAAGTGTGAAACAGGTTCACTATACTGGTTCCTAACTTGTCTGAGTCCGGTAAAACCAAACATTCCCAAATGCAAATTGCATGAAGCAAGTTTATTACTTACAGGCAAGGAGCAGAAGCCAAAGCCTAGGGTTCACTGGGAGCTGGTCCCCGGGGAAGGTGCCCTGGGGATGGTGATGTCTCCTGTATATGCTCCACTTGCACTGATGCTGAGGGACCCCAGAAACCAGCAGAGGATTTCTAGGCAGCTCCCCCTTATTTCAAGAGGTTTTATTCTCAGCACATCCTACAATTATCCTTGAGAATTATAAATCAGAAAGGGGGTCAGTCTAAAGTCACCCAGATAACTTTCTATGTAGAGCAGCTCACAGTAAAATATAAACAAGCTTTCCAGGAAAAGGGGCGCTTAGCACGAGAACCAACAGAATTAACAATAGAAACAGAAATATAAGACCTTCAGATGCCGAAATGTGAAAGAATGAATTATAAATCACTACAACTACCATGTTTAAATAAATGTCTCAGACTTAACAGAAAAAGGCTGAGAGCGCTGGCTCTGGGATTGGCAATAAGACAGACGTGCCCACGTCACACCTCTCCAACATCACCTGGGGCTTTTCCCTATGCAGTAAGGCATTAAAAAGAAATAAAGAGGATAAGAACTGGAGAGAAAGAAAGCTATCACTCTTTGCAGATGTACAGAAAATCTAAAATACCCTCCAGATAAATGAATAAAATAATAACAGAAATTAGTAAGGTCAGTGGGCACAAAATCAAACACGAAAGTGACTTACATGGTGGAGATGGTTGCACTCATTGCGAATATACTAAAAACCACTGCATTGTTAACTTCTAAATGATTAAAATGGTCAGTTTGATGTAATGTGTATTTCACTATAAAAAAGTAAATTACAAATATATATGCTAGCAACAGAAAAAAACCCAACACATTTATAATAGCATAAAAACATTACACATCAAAATTAACACACTAATAAGTCTTCTGTCATGGCTGACCTTACGGAAATGTTATACAATTTTACAAAGAGACATCCAAGAAGGCGGAAAGAGATCCTAATACTAACGGGGATTCTCCTCCCTAGGTTGGTCCATAACACGAACATGATTCCAATAAAACTCCAGTTCAGGTGTTTGTGTGTGTGTGTATGAAACTTGCCAAGTTGATTCTAAAATATACAGAAGTACAAAGGGCCAAGAATAGCGAATTCATGTTCAGAGAATAAGGTGAGAGACTTCCAACCAGTTATAAAGACCCACAAAACTGCAGAAACAAAGGCAGGGGAACAGTAAAGGCTCTAGAAACATATGTGGGCCCCGATCCACGACAGAGGTGGTCGAGATGACCAATGCAGACAAGGTAAACTTTTTAATAAGAGACACTCAGAGAGTGGGGTCCCCATATTGGAAAAATACTAAACTGTCATATCTTAAACATCAATTCCTGATACATTTGATTTCCCATCAAATTATATACTTAAATGTGAAAGGCAAAACTATAAAGTCTTATAAAAGGCTATCTCCATGATTTCCAGGTAGGAAATAATTTCTAAAACAAGACCAAAAAAAAAAAAAAAGCCCAAACAAACTGAAACCATTAACTATAGAAAAAGTGTAATGATCTGGATTTTTTTTTTTTTTTTTTGGAGATACAGAGTCTCACTTTATTGCACTCAGTAGAGTGTCATGGCGTCACACGGCTCACAGCAACCTCCAACTCCTGGGCTTAGGCGATTCTCTTGCCTCAGCCTCCCACGTAGCTGGGACTACAGGTGTCTGCCACAACACCCAGCTATTTTTTTGTTGCAATTTGGCTGGGGCTGGATTTGAACCCACCACCCTTAGTATATGGGGCTGGCGCCCTACCCACTGAGCCACAGGTGCCACCCGATTTGGATCATTTTTAAATCAAGATCTTCTGTTCATTAAAAGACACCATGAAGAGTTAAGAAAGCAAGCTCTAACTTTTATAATCCTGGTTTCACCTTTTATCAATTTTGTGATCCTGGGAAAATATAACCTCTCAATCTCAGTGAAGTGAGAAATAATAGTATTTATCTTACCGTGTTAGTTTTGAAGATAAAAGATCCAAAGCATAACCCCACGTGTCCTGTAGTTAGCACTGAAGAAATGTCCTCACGACGTGGGATCACAAGAGGTCACCCAGTGTTACCCTTCCAGTCCTGATGAACAAAACCCCACCTCATCTGCTCTTCTCTCCATCTGCTGCCTCCACAGCCTGAGAAAGGGGCCACTCTAGCCAAGAGAGGATCAAAGGGCCTCCATGGCCCTCCCAGCACACTGCTGCTGCAGCTGTCCATCTTTGCCTCAAACCAACACTCCTGTCTGACCTCCATCCCCATGTGCAGCTTTGATGAGCAGCTGTTTAGATAATGGGGTCGCCCAGCCAAAGGCTGACACCTGGCCACAGTGAAGTTTGTCGAGGATTAAGAAGCACTACAAAGGACCTTGAACAAACATTTTATGTGTGGTTGTGAGATGATCATTTCTCAGTAATCAAAATGAAAAAGGCAGCCCTTGCAAAAATACCACAGGAGGGACTACTATGAAGAATTGTGCTAAGACGTCTTGAGTCCTCATGTAATCACAGTAATGATAGTTTTCCTGGGGTCTGAAAACCAGCTCCAAACTGTTTGCGATGATTTGGCTTCTCCTAGCTGGAATTCCTCACCAATTAGAGTCAGATGCTTTACATGTGTTGATGCTGCTGGGGGTTAATTATGACTGTGAATATTCATAATAGTCATAATACCCTGGAATCTTGTATCTGTAATGGAAATCACTAAGCTGGGAAACAGGAGAGCTGATTTCCAAGGTTAAAAACAGCAGCCCACTTTTCAGTAGGAATTCAATTCCATACCTGTTGTTCAAACAAACCTCATATTTAATAATCTCTACAAAACTTCAACACTTGCCTGTGGATATACCAGTGCCCGCCTGCTTTATTATGCAATGCATAAATATAGCTTTCGTTCAGGTATTTTTATGATGCTAATTCGAGCATATACATTTGTATCACAAAGATAGTTTGTCTTAGTTCAAAATAGATTTTACCATCTGGATGGTAAGAGTCTGGAAATCACGAGAAGTAGAAGGACAGTTGAGAGAAGTGGGACCTCACTGTAGAGAAGAACTGAGAAATGGGAGAACTTTGTGCAGAATACTTTAAGGGCTGTCACTGTCTAAGGGAGAGAGGCTTGGGTCTGAGGGTCTCCAGAGGCAGAGCCAGGATCCTGTTATAGGACTCAGGCAGAGAGAGGCTTTCTCACATTGGGCATATTGAGAATGGGATGGTTGTTCTCTTGAGAGGGTGAAGGTTCTGCTGGGAAAGGAATTTAAGCAAAACCCAGATGATGACCATCAGGAGACTGACAAAAGGTTGCATCATGGGGACTCTTGGGTCTTTGGTGCCCTGGGAGTTGAGGAGTCTGTGAAGTGACATGTGAGTCATAAAAGGGAGGAAGTGAAAGCAATGGTGTGAGCAGGGCTCATCAGAGTTTTCCCAACATGTCACAGCTACGTGGCTTTCAGGACACTCTGAATTCCTCCCACCCCTAGTTGTGACAATTAAGTGTGTTAATACAGGCGGCACAAAGCAAGTGCTCAGTAAACGTTAGTAGCCAGTCATGTGGATAGTATCAGTCTTATTCTTATGGGACAGTGGGAACTAATCTGTCTGTATACAGATATGTTTTTTAGGGATTAGGAGTTCATTCAAATCAAGAGTCCAAGGTTTGGGGAACAAACTAACATTCATGGTATTAATGATTTAAATAAATCTTTATTTTGGAAGCTGCTGCTTCATTTTGGAAGCCGCCTTCTACCCAACAGATGAGAAGGGAGAGTCTCAGACAATGCAGCTAAGGACCAGGGGGTGGTACCTTGAGCTTGTTTGTTCTTTGCCTCTGTCCAAAGTAGTCTTCAGTGACTTGAGTGTTCGTTGACCACTTTTGATTACTTCTTCTACCTAAAATAAAAATACGACACACACCGAGTGGTTCATTACTCTCTAAGGTACCTTTAATATACATATAAAATATGTATGTTTCAAAAGATGCTAAAATATTTTAATGTTTTCTCTACATATTCAATAAAGGAGTCGACCTGGAAGTCCCTGTATGTGGCATAGAGAAGGTTCCATCACAAATTGTGTGTTAACAATATTCTTGCAAAGCCACAAGCTATCCTACCATTTCCAAAGGCCAAGAAGAAGATATGATGCATTAATTAATTTAACAAATACTACCTGAGAGCCACCAAGATGCCAGGCCATTTGGGGAGTATTGGGGATAATGATGTGATTGCAACACTGCCTTAGAGATGCTCCCAGGTAGCTGTGCCATAGTGGAAAGGGGTTAAAGCTGGAAGGTTGAATCCCCTGTTCTCCCTGCTCACTAGGCCCTAACTTTTTCCTTTATAAAATGAAGGAATTGGCTTTTGATCTCAAAGCTTCCTTCTTGGTCTAAAAAAGTTCTATAATTCTACTACTTTTAAACTAAATAAGCTCAGTGCTAAGGATATTGAGGTCTCAATAAATAAAACTGATTCCATTCAACAAACACGCTGGGAAGATTATCCAGACCCAGCACTTCCCCTCAGGAAGCTCCTGGGATATCAGAGTGGAGGGGGAAGAAACCCGCTACTCATGAGACTCTAACCACCTGCTTGGCACACACCAGGTATTTTACATATTTTATTTAATCCCCTCATCTCCCAGCATTCCTATGAGACAGAGATTGCTCATGTGGGAGAGAAGGAATTATACAACTCTCTCCTATCCCTAGGTCTAGTTTTCAAGACAGGGGCTTCTGCCCTTTCTTTTCAAGGAGGAGAATGACCTGAGTGTGAGACTGACCAGTCCTTCCTCTGAGGGATGACTCATTCCGGGTCATATCTCCCTGGTGAGCAGGCTCATTGCTCTGGAAGGAGAGGGCCATTGCCACCCTTTTTCTGTTCTGCCTGAGACTTACTGTGTGGCACAGCTGTAACCCAGGACCATGCAACTAAGAAAAAGGACGAGGCTTGCACTTTGAGGGCCTATCATCTCCCCTGCTGCCATATGCTGGCTTAGACAAGTATGCAGGACTCACAATCTGTACATGTACCTGGGAAGGGAGTTGGAAGCCCAGTTTAGCCTCAACCCTAAGCCACCTTCCCCAATTCAAGTTTTATTAGCCTTTTCCACTGGAGTGCTAAACATTTAATCAAATTAATACTTAGGGCAATTTGTTTCCCATTTGACAAGGGATCCTTAGTTGTGGAATCCACTCAGCAGAACCTCCAAAGCCCAGCCATTGTTTATCATGTACATGCTTCAAAGAATAAACGATGAGCAAACAAACAAAGGAACGACTCCTCTTCTGAGGGACCTCAGCAGCAAGCTCAGGCCGGTGAGTGACTTTATGGATGTCCACTCCTGAACAGCAGAGCTTCTCCTACGGCACCGTCACATGGTGGCCCAAGACCAGTTTTGACATAGTCCAGTGGTACCATTTTCTGTCCTATTTTATAAAAAAGCAACATGTGTACAAATGTGTGATTTCATTCAGCTCCCTTTCACAGGGGACCATGAATGTAGAAGTACATCTTTCCTTTCCCAGAGGCCTTCCTGTGGGGTGCAGGAAGATCTGCCTAAGCTTCACCCTTTTAATATAGGAACACTAGATTGGGGGAAAATAGCACCATTAACATCAGAAATGGCTCGTGCAATGGCCAGATTTTTGCTGAGGCTCTGGAAAGAAAAAAAAAAAATGAATGCTACCAAAGCCATTAAATTTCAAGGCTGAAAGGACTTGTTCAGAAATGTTTCAAAAAAGATGCAGTCCGCATTTCAAAAACTCTTAGAAGAATGCTGTGGAAGCCACCAGAGCAATGTTTACTGAATAATTAAAGAAGGTGACTCATGGAAAGGTTCTCCCAACAAAGCAGGCTTTATTGTCAAACATAGTTTGTTTCGGAGTAGGCTAGTTCTAAAATGTTTCTTTCATTTGCTATATTTTAAAACATACTTAATGTCATAATCTTATTATTTTCCACTAAGTTTTTGCTGGCCAATGTTGTTACATGTTCGGATGTCAGTATGGCAGTGACTGTTTAGATGGTTTTAATATGAAAACAATTGGTTTTCTTCTTTGTCTTTAATTGAAAGTGGGATGAATATAAATATTTCTTTACATACTGACCTAGCCTTAAGGAAATGGAAACATGTTTTGGCTGCTATTGATTCAGTTATGATTTACTGAACCATATTAATGTCAATTGTGGATGAAAAAAAACAGAATTAAGAGGAGATTCCCTTTGGTTTTAAGGGAGGAGCGAGAGGCTGGGGGTTGTCAGGGTAATGAGAAGGTGGGAGCCAGGAGAGATGTGGTCGCATAGTATGTGTGGAACAGTGCTGGCCAACAGAATTTCCTACAATTCTATTTCATTCCAACATTTCCAAATGTTCCAACATAACTGATGGAAATGTTCCTTGCTATCCAACATGATAGTTGCCAGCTATGAGTGGCTACTAAGCATTTGAAATGTGGTTAGTGTGACTGGGAAACTAAAATTTTAATTTTATTGAATTTTAATTCTTTTTAACTTATATTTACCAGCCAGAGAGTGGGGAACATGTCCAGAGTCAGCCCTAAATCCGTCTGTGTTGGTCATGTGATAGGCTAACTCTTCTTCAGGTGCAATGGGCAGTAAGTATCCATACCAGACACCTTTTACTCATCTGTGGTCCTGGACCTTATTGCCTTTTCAATTCTGTAACTCTTTGCTCTTTCTGTCACATACCTGAGACCTGAAACTCTCATGTGACTGTGAGACTGGAGCCTAAGTCCAATCTCTCTGATCAGTGTGGGGTCTAAAGGGTGTTCCCCTGAGCCCAATGCAGCCAACCTTACAGACCGAGGTCAACCACAGAGATCACCCAGGTGCTGATTGAGGCCTCTGCTGGGCCTGCCCTGCAGCTCAGCTTCTCCCTTTTCTTGTTCCTGGCTTCTTCCTTCCCTCCCTCCCCAGACACTGCTCAATACAAATTTTGCATGCTCATCTTGGTCTCAGAACCTGCTTCCCAAAGAGCAATGACACCTTAGCACCTCTTAAAAATATTTTAATATTTTAATTACTTTAAATGAGGTCAGTGTTAGTTAAAATTCATTAAAATATCAGTTTCAAAAAAAAGCTCTGAAACTCAAAGTATGAGTTTTATATTGCTTAGCATTGTAAATGCACCACCAAGAATGGGAGCATGTGCATAATTAGAGTCTTAAAACACCCTGTTTCTAACACTGTTATCTGTCACATAATAAGCACAGACAAAGACTATGTTTATGGAAATGCAAATAGTCACAAATTTGGAACTTTTCTTCACAGGGAATTTGCTGTGCACCAGAATCTAAATGCATGTCTTATTTTTAAAAGGTATTTTCAGCTCATTTAGTTTAAAAGATTCTTTTAAGCTTAAAAGTTAGAATTAAGAAGTCAGCTGTAAGAAAAATATCAACACCGGCATTTGTATTAACACTGAAATTCATCTTAACACCAACATTTACGTTAACAGCAGGTAAAATTCTTCTGATAAGATATGATTTGCCCCAGCGGAGGACTATGGCTCAGGGTTCTGAGGCTTTGCAGCCCTGACACGTGGTCTCCCCCACCCCAACCTGCAGGCCTGCACTGCTCTTCCCCAGGAAGCGACGCTCATTAACATCAAACACCGTCTTGTTCATTTGAACTAAGTGTGTTTAGAAATAACTAATGGAAAAGTAGTAAGGGCCAAAATTTGTTTAATAAATTAGATAATGTGAGACTAATGGTTTCCTGAGTCCACAGAGAGAAATGTAATCAACTACTTGAAAATTCAATTGTGGAATAGGCACAAAGGTACAAATTAACATTTTAATGATGTTTCATTATTTTAAATCTCATAGAGTTATGCAATTGAAAGTTCAGATGAACACAGAGGTAGTAATAGAGCTCACTTTGCTACAGAATACACAAGTCCTTTCCACGGCTTTTCAGAAGGATGACTTTCTAGCCTTGGCTTAAATAGTATCCCAGGCTGGAGTCTCATTACCTCCTCAGGCAGGAGGTAATAATTAATATTTACTTTAACAAAATGAAACGATTAATATTTGCTTTAACAAAATGCATGTGGCTGCTTCATCAACCACAAAAGGTACTTACCCCAAAGAACACAGGCTATGTGAGTTGTGTAAAATTATAGCAAACTGAGGCAAGGGAGAGACTTAGGTCTTAATCCCTCTATTAATTTAGGGTGAACCACAGACATTGCCAATAGCTGGCTATTTTTCAACAATGATATAAAACAATGACTGTATATCTTTCAATTGAATATTTATATCAATTTTTATAAGAATGAGAAAATAATCACTCCATTTCAGATGAAGACTTGCTACTTGTAAATTAAAAGAGTGAATGGACAAAAGAAAGAGAATATCATCATTCAGGGAGAGAAAAAGGCATGAGCCAAGACAAGAAGGAAAATGATGCCTTAAATAGCACAGGGCATCAGGCAGGTCACAGAGGGAGAGAAGGCTGAAAAACTGGGCAAAGGCCAGGTCTTGGGGGATTTATTTCAAGGTGCTTGGACTTTGCACAAGAGCTGATGGGATGCAGTGCTTTTTCTCCCTAGACCCAGGTGATACAGTTATTCACTTCAACTCAAGAGTAATGTCTTACACACATTTCTTTACTTTCCTTAGACAAGGTGTCTGATGTTAACAAAATTTCTAAGTCCAGTGAAGTGATCACTTTTGAAGAAAGTGTCTCTTTCCTAACTAAAGAGTTACTTTTCTTCTAATTTTAAGACTATTTTTGTCATATTTCTGTTTTCTCACTCAACCCCACTCTGAAAATAGCAATGACATGTGGTCCTTTTGGGAAATCATCTAAATGTGCATAGTGGCCGTCAAATTGATTTCAGGGATGCTCACATTTGAACTGCTGGTTAAT